GACTCCGACCAGCCGAAATGAATGGCTCTTTGGCAGAACTCGACCATCCATCGAAACCGGGTGAGCGCAGGGACGCTTTTTGTTCGTCAAAGTACAGTACTGTGTTTTGGAAGCATTGAACTGTACAAGATTGTTGCATCCCCAAGCAGTGATAGCCTCCAGGTCTCTTGTCAGATAGGAAGTCATCGCTAGTCTTGTTTTTTCCAGCTCAGCGGCAGAGATCGGCTTGTCACTTTGAATTCCTGCATGTAGAGTGCTGTCATCAGCGAAGCTGTGGCTTGGGTTGATCGTGCAGGAAAGGAGGGTCTTTGATATGTAAGAGCAACAGTGTCGCCAAGACCGATGGGGAACACCCGCGTTGACGTTGTGGGATGAAGAGGAGAAGCCGTCAATTACTAAGGATATCTTGCGGCCAGAGATAAAGTCAGCCAACCATCTGCAAAGCTTTTCTGGGAGGCCATAGGATGGAAGTCTGCTTAAGAGGGCAGCGTTCTACAGCTGATCGAACGCTTTCGTGATGTCAAGAGTACCGACATGAGCCTCACCATAAAATGATTTATTCCTAAAATAATCCTTTAAAATTTTAGATTTAGATTTAGATTTTACAAGGAATTTATTCCACAGAAAAAAATGGTAGATTCACTGAAGCCTATTCTATCGAACTTCCGATTTTATTACGAAATCTCCCGGAGTTTTTCTCAATTTGTATATACTTTTCTGATATAACGAAACACAAGAGTAGAGTCCATTTGATCCTGCCCTCTGCTCTTCAACTTTCGATTGGTAGGATTTGGTGAAAGCCTCCGCTCTCCGATTTTTCAAATAGCAGCATTTGTTGTGCCCCATCTTTAATTTTCAAAACCAGTGGAACTCAAGGAAGATGCCCCTATCCGTCTTCAATTTTCAGTCATCGGCCAGTTTTAGCTTTTTGCTTTACCATCTACCAAAAGATGTAACGATCTATTGAAGAACCTCGCGCAAATCTACCGAAAACAGCTCGACTATACAGACCGGCACATTGCAAGTTATAGAGGGGTTAACGACAGACCGACGGAAATGTGTGACGTGGTTTTCATTAATCTATATCTCATGTAACATCCCAAAAACATATCTCAATTTGGATTTTTTTTTTGTGATTACAATAATTCTTTGCCAGTTGGCCCGGGAAGTAATAAGATAAAAAAGATAGAACATTAGGTTATTGTTGTTTTCTTATATATGTCAAGGATGTCATATTTGCTTATAGATTTGAAAGCCCTGAGCGTTTCCGAACACTTGATCATTTGAAAGCTTGCTCTACACTGCTGTATTTGGAGACTCCAAACTATTACCAGTGAATAACCATATAACTTTACAAAAGGCATACATATTGCAAATATGGTGTGTTCTATCAGCCATTAATAAGTTATACTTTTGAATACTGTCATATATTTCAATATTCAACTGTCTAGGTATTATTCGCAATTTACAATTTAATTTCATCTACATCTTAACTGGGGGAAAATGGGTTTTCTTTGAAGACTGCATTCTTTCCAACAAAGAATTTCTTTCTATAAGACTATTTTGAATTTCATGCTACAGCTGAATACATCAGTCAGCTCTTAGACTATTTTGAAGCGATTATAGCCAGAACGGTATGTCCTATTGTGAAGACAACTGTATGGATACTAGAGACGAAAATGGAAACCAGTAGTTGGAATTGCTTCCGTAGAAATGGCGAGCCGTACAAGGGACTGTTTTATGAGTATGATTGTTATTGATTCGATGCTAAGTCATTTGGATGTTCGTTCCGGCATGTATGTATTATACATAGTTAGGAGAGGTCGAAGTGTTTTCCTATTTGGTAAAGTTAAATGGGATAACCCCTGGATAATATTTCCAGGTTTACTCCGTTTGGGCGATTAAACATGAATTGTCAGATATTTCTGTTCATGACTGGTCATTAGAGCAGTTCATAAGACCTCTGCTTTTGGGTGTCTAGGTACCAGACAAAGTTAGGGCTCAGACTATATACAGATGCCACAGCTACTGTTGGTCCCTTTGATCTTGGAGTTATCACTTACTTAATCACAACTCTACCAATTTCGTGGGAGCCTGTAGGAATTTTTTCCAATGGGAGCAAATTACGAGGGTGGTCCCAGAAGTACCCGGTCTGACCTAGAGATGGCGATAGTTGTTTGAAAAATATAATTGTATTAGAAAGTATGCAACCTATGAAGCATATGTGTCAGGTTTGAAGACGCGACGTTGTTTAGTATTTGTTTGGCAGCCATCAATACTGAACGTTTTCAGTGAATTTGTGAAAATGGAGAAAATTGGTCAGCGTTATGTGGTACAATACATTTATTTCAAAGGCCTGAAGGCCTCAGTCCAACCAATATAAAAGCTGAACTGGATTCTACTCTGGGTGAGTCTGCTCCTTCGTTTACAACAGTAAAATATTGGGTAGCAGAGTTTAAACGAGGCCGTATGAGCTGCCCAGACGACCATCGTAGTGGTCGAGCAAATGAGGTGACCACTCCAGAAATGGTGAAGAAAATTCACTAAGCGGTACTGAATTATCGTAGACTGAAAGTGCGCGAGCTAGCAGACATAGTAGGCATTTCATCGCATATTATCTGAAGATTTGGACATGAGAAAGCTGGGTGCAAGATGGGTGCCGCGATTGCTCACAATCGAGCAAAAACAGTGTCGTGAAGATGTTTCAATTGAGTGTTTAGCGAAGTTTTACAGCAACAAAGCAGAATTTTTGCGTCGTTTTATAACCATGGATGAAACATGGGTACATCACTTCACACCCGAGACAAAAGAACAATCAAAACAATGGACTCAAAAGGGACAACCGGCTCCAAAGAAGGTGAAGACCGTTTCATCTGCAGGCAAGGTTATGGCGTTGGTTTTTTGGGATGCGCGTGGGATAATTTTCATTGACTAGCTTGAAAAAGGTAAAACTATCAACGGCGAGTATTATGCGAACTTACTGCAACGTTTGAGCAATGAAATCAAGCAAAAACGGTCGCATCTGGTTAAGAAGAAAGTGTGGTTTCATCAAGACAAGGCACCAGCTCACAAATTCGGTATTGCAATGGCCAAAATTAACGAATTAAAGTTTGAATCACTACCTCATGCACCCTATTCACCAGATTTAGCCCCCTCGGAATATTTCCTGTTACAAAACTTGAAAAAATGGCTCAGTGGTCAAATATTTTCCAACGATGAAGAAGTGATATCGGTAGTTAATGGCTATTTTGAGGAGCAAGATAGTTCTTATTATAAAAAGGGTATCGAACTTATTGAACATCGCTGGGAAAAGTGTATAGAACTCAAAGGAGATTATGTTGAAAAATAAATACATTTTTTACAAAAATTTTGTGTTTTCTTCGTTGGCTCGGGTACTTCTGGGACTACCTCGTAAAAATGTATAGCTGTGCTTTAGAAATATCTACCTTCCCTTATAAAATTATATCATACCTGTATATCAAATACTAGATAAGCCTACGTTTTATGATTCCTATAGAAAAACATCCCCAAAGTACACCACACACGTTTTTTATATCGCGATCTACCCTTTCAAAATTAAAATTATCATTGCTGGTGGCAGAAACATCAGTTGATAATAGTCATTTGCACTCAATGATGTAACTACATACGAGTACATATAGAAACAGCAGATAGGTAAATATGAATTATTTACTACTACTACTATCCGATCATAACAGTGCGGCGCCTTCGAGCGTTTTAGTTGATAGTTTAGCTGCCATTGTATCTAAATATTTAAGAGCGTTGTCGGTAATGTCATCATCTACAACATACTTAAATATTCTCTACGACTTTCCCTGTAACCCTATATATGCAGGACACTCTACACAAAACTAGAAAAGTTAGTCACATGATGACTTCCAGATGATGGCTCAATTTTGTGATAGTAGCCAATTATTTTCTATATTTGTAATCCAAATTGTATTTGAAACAAAATTGAAAAGTTGGATGGCTCTTCCAGATTCACTTGAGCAAAATATTGACTAACACGTGCTTCTTAATTTCTTCTATTTCTTAACACTTCTAGCATAGGTGTTTTGATACAGCCCTATCTATGTTGCATCTGAAATAGCTGAACTATATTGTTGTCGGAAATAGAACTCATTTTAATGCACAAAACATAATTTTCCTGACATCTGACTGAAAAGCCTAATATCCATGGAAGAAGCATTATAAGCACAATGCTTAGAAAAACGTTACATCCTTGACGCAAGATTTTGTTTGATTTTTTGAGGGCATGTTCAGCCATTTCAAGTGTATGCTTAGAATATACATTTTGGAGGCAACATATTGATATGGCGTGCAAACAGCAGTTTTGGGAAAGTTGCTGAAGTCACCATATTAGGTATGTGAGAGGAGCAGTGTTATCACAATGCTGGAGCCAAATTACTAAATTACTGACCTGTACTACACCGTATAACCGGGAGAGCCTAGAATATGGTTGGTTCTGACAGAATATTTTATCCATGACAAATGACAATTGAAATCAATTCAAAATAAATATAAGGTACCTGTAGCAAATAAGGCCATGCACCTAATAAGGCCATGCGTCGGTTTTTTTACTTGAAATCTATCTGGATTTAAGAATTATTTATTACTGTTAATTATAAATATAACTTCGGTTATTCAACAGTCTTGATTTAAATTTTGAGCGTGGCTTTATTAAAAACCAGATCATGGCCAATCTAGTGTATAGTCGTCAACTTATCTATCAAAAAAATACCTGCTCCTGGCATATACGCAAAGTGTGAGAAACATCGTACCCAATCTTCTGGAGAAGTAACCATACAAGAGATAACACCAGTAAGTACTTACAGAAACGTTAGTAGCTCTTCCGAGGACGAACCAAGCATTTTCGGTCATTTTTCTTTAACCTCTCCCGAAATTGTGTCACAAAAGTCACATTTTTGTCAAGATATATCAACTTTCAACCTGGCCTATACATAAGGTGTTTATCCGATATGACTAGACGAAAAAAGAAGGATGAAGAAGAGCAACAAGAAGATAAAGATGAAAGTTATTTATCCAAGAATAATGCAAATACTACTATAGAGCAAGAAGTACAGTACCTGAAGAAGCTATTAGAAACAAAGAATGAAATAATTTTAGATAAAGAGAGGTATATCAATCAATTAGTTAATGAGAACAGCCGTTTACAGGAGCATTATGAATTGATCATTAGCAGTATAGTGGATAAAGAAACCATAATCACTTCTTTGGGGAAAATAAATGAAAGAGTTAAAAAAATAGAAGCTACTACCTCATACACCCGTTGTAATGATGTAATTAAATCATATAGTGGAGCTGTAAAAGAGTCAAAAAAAAGCAGAGATGAGAAGATTGTAGATAAAATTAATAATACACAAAAGTTGATGATAAAAAGTACGGACAAATCAAACTCTAATTGTGTTGGAAGATTTGAAGAAGAGCATTGATTCAGCTAAGTCAAATATCTGTGTGAACTCTGTGAGGAGGGTGAATAATGGCATCATTCTTAGCTGCGAAAATGAAGCATCATTGTCCAAGCTGATGGCGAGTATACAGGGAGAACTCGGTGCGAACTTCACTGTCAATGATATCAAGAAATATCGCCCACGCATGGTGATAAATAATGTAGAATGCGCCTACACAAATTCTGAGGGATTAATCGAGAAGATCTTGTCTCAGAATGAATTTGGTATTTTCAGTAGTGATGATATAAAAACTGTAACCACTTTCAGATGTTCCGAATCTACTTTAAATGTTGTCATTGAGGTTAGCCCAAAATTTAGAAAAACGTTGCTAGATAGAGGTCATATATACATGGGTTGGCAAAGATGTCCTGTGCGGGATTATGTACGAATTATACGCTGCTATAAAAAAAAATTGCACACATTCTAAAGTATCATGTCCTTTATGTGCTGGAGATCATTTGGAAAAAAATTGTAAATCTGCTTTTAAGAATTGTTCAAACTGTATGAATCACAATTCTAAATTCAACACTCAATTTGATACTAGACATTCTTCTAAAGACATAGATTGTCCAACTTATAAAAAACATGTTACATACTTGAAATCTAGAATTGAATATGAATAGTGATAAATTCAAGGTTTTAAAATTTGGTCATATAAACTGCAGATCAGTTTTATCAGGATTTCATGAATTTAGTACACTGGTTCAAAACAACAACCTTGATATTGTTGGAATATCGGAAACGTGGCTATCAAAAGATATATCTAATGACCATATAAGAATGAATGGATACAACTGCTATTGCTGTGATAGAGATGGGCGAGGTGGTGGGGTTGAAGTCTTTGTAAACAACCACTACAACTCTTCCATAATTTCATTTGGGCAAGGCCCAAGTCTTGAATATATATGGTTGAAGGTGCAGCTTGCAAAACAAAAAATTGCTATTGGTATATTCTATCGGCCCCCACATAGCTAGTTACAGAAGCCGGTAATACCTTTGATAACATGTTGCCTGCCATATTAGCTGAATATGATGATATCATCCTTGCAGGGGATATCAATGTTAATTTGCTTTTAGTTTGTAACAACTTGACTAAATGCCTTGATTCTTATAATCTGAAACAGGTGATATCTGAACCGACTAGGATAACTGAATCGACACTCACTCTCTTAGATCCTATTTATTTGAGCAAGCCTGAAAGTTGTCTTAGGAGTGGCACTATTAATGCTGATATGATTACTGATCACTATTTAACCTTCTGTTATATACGTATTGCACTTCCTAAAAATCAACAGAAATTTGTGACATTCAGGGATTTCCATAGTTTAAATGAAATAGCGTTTGAACAAGATCTCAAGAGTTTTCCATGGTGGCATATTATATCGATAGATGACATTGAAGATAAAATTAACTTTTTAACAGATAGTATTTTATGTTTATTTAATGTTCACTGTCCAAAAAAGGTAGTGCGTGTAAACAAAGCTCCAGCTCCTTGGTTGGATGATAATATTAAACTTGTATTCAAGCAGAGGGCTGAAGCTTTGTCAAAGTTCAAACGTGATCGTACAGCCGCCTCTTGGCAACAGTATACATATCTCAGAAATCGTGCATTAACGCTCGTGCGAAGAGGAAAAAGATTATTTACAAGCTGTTCAAAATCAGGATATAAAAAAGTTTTATAAGACCCTAAAGACTTTCAAAGTACAATCTCAGAAAGATTCTACAATTTCCGTGAGCTTGTCAGATCCGTATAAAATAAATGAGGCATTCATTTCAATTTTCGAGAATAGTGATTTGGCTTGTGCTGATAAAATTGCATATTACCGAGCTAATAAAAATAACTCAAAATTCAAATTTCAATTTAATAAGGTGACTATTGACACCGTTGTTGAAATTATACATAAAATAAAATCAAATTCTAGTGGTACAGATGAAATAACTTTGCATATGATACTACTATGTATACCTGAAATTGATGTGTACTTAACGCATATTATAAACTGCTGTTTAGAGAGGGGATATTTTCCCAATCAGTGGAGACGCGCTATAGTTATTCCGCTACCTAAGTGTTCTGACCCTACTAACTATGGTCAACTAAGACCGATCAGTCTACTGCCAATTTTTTCTAAAGTATTGGAACGCGCTGTTTACGAGCAGCTCTGCGCCTACTTAAGGTCATAATACAGCTTCGGCACTCTGTGATTTAACAGACAATATAACAATGGCACTTGATAACCAAAAAACAGTAGCTCTCATACTTCTTGACTTTACTAAAGCATTTAACACCATTAATCACTCACTTCTTGTATCTAAATGCAGTTACTATGGATTTTCTGAAAAACCTCTTTCGTTTATTCAAACCTACCTTGAAAATCGGTATCAAAAAGTTCGTCTAAATCAACAGTACTCTACGGAACAAAAAATGTGTACCACAGGGATCAGTATTAGGACCGCTATTATTTTCATTATATATCTCAGATTTAGAAACAGAGGTAAAATCATGCAGCATACAATTTTTTGCAGATGATACTCAAATTTTCTATTCATTTAGGAGTAATGACTTGCAAACGGCAAATAATAAAATTAATCAAGATCTTGTCCTAATTGAAAAGTTCAGTAGTAGTCATAATCTTCGTTTGAACCCTTTGAAGACAAATATGTTAGTATACGCAAATAGAACAAAAAAGAATACCTTAAAAAAGGACATAGACATACATTTAAAAGGTAATAAATTAATTCCTGTGGATCATTCGAAAAACCTAGGTATTATAATGGATGATGACTTAAAATTTGTTGCACACGTGAACTATCTAATTACTCAGTGCTACGCTATTCTCAGAGTTTTATTTGCAAATAAGGCTATATTACATAAATCTGCGAGAAAGCAATTGTGTGAATATTTCGTATTTTCAAAGATATCGTATTGCTTAGTGGTTTACTATCCCTAGTTAGATATTATAACAAGAAATCGTATTCAAAGTATTATGAATACATGTTGCAGGCTTGTAAATGATCTCAGAAAATATGATCATATATCGAATGCCATTAATGAACTGAAATGGATGAAAATTGATAAAATGTATAAGTACCAGCTCCTAAATCTGACTCATAAGGTTCTTTATTCAAAAACACCGTCATATTTAGTAAACAAATTCATACGTAGAGGGAATATGCATCGTATTAATATTAGATATAGAGAGACTTTTTCAATTCCACGCCACAGCACTTCTCTATTTCAGAATTCATACATTTACAATGCGATCAAATCATATAATTCTTTAGACCGCAGTTTAAAAGAAACCAATCCATTATCCAAATTCAAGAAAAAAGTGAAAGAAGTTCTTCTTGATCAGCAGCGAAGTCGGTTGTAACCCATAAGTGTCCTCATATTTTCCTTATGTATTTACTTGGATTATTCGTTATTGTATACAGGTGCCTATTAATTTTCAACAAATTCTTTTTATTTTTACATCTCGTATTGTTAAGGGGGTTAGATGGTAGAATAGATATATAATCTAAATCTCGCCTCCTGTAAGAATATTACAAATAAAAGACGTTAATTATTATTATTATTATTATTTGGATCCCTGGGTTCCTAAAAAGGCCAACGGTAGTGTTTAAAAAACATGTATTTTTTATATGATAAGAAAAGTTCTCGGAGCTCTCCGATTCCTACAGCTTATTCACTGAATATACCTAGAATAATACCTTTAAAATGTCATGATCGTATCGCAAATTTTTATGAAGTTACTGCTATCCAAACGTTAACGTGGCCGTATTTGGTACAGGTACCTTACTTCTTTTTAATTTTTGTTTTTTGTCTTGTTCTTCGATCCAATTAAAATGTTAGGAGCGATGTGCATCTGATATATCATTTCTGCATTTCCCTATGCAATCATATGATAATCTCTACTAGACCAGTATGGATTAGATACATGGAAGGAGATGGATTTTCCTATAGATTGCCATTGATCGTGATCAGCTCGGCTCCATGCTCTTGTTATTCCTACTGGCCAATAGTATAATGTGCACGGTAACTGTTATGTACACAAAGATGTAGAGAAATTGAAAACTGTTGATATTCCTAGCAAGCATGCGTTACTGGCAAGTTCCCTCATTCCTGGCAAATGCCAGTAATTACTGGCAAAACGACAACACTGGAGAGGAAAAACATAAAAGAAAGCCGAACATTGCGTAAGCATTCTAGATAGACTCTACCTATTTAAACGGTGCAAGCTAGGCATGTGATCAAACAGAAATCTCGAAGGCCATCAACTATGTATATGCATCTGTCAGTAACAGAACACCTCATAAGTTCTGTGCAGTGTAAACGTGTCAGGTAGCCTGTTCATCGCCCTGTAAGTGAGTAAACACGGCTCAGGGCGTATCATTACCCGGTGTTCGACCCACACAACAAGCGAACAAACCCCCCTGTATGCGATGCCAGTGACGGCGTAGATCTTAGTAGAAATAGGGTGTCCTAGAGAATATTTAAGATTTACAATTTAAATTGAAAACCACACAATTCTCCTAATGATACCTATAAAAGCAAAGGTCCTCTTGCATTCAAGCCAAAACAGTTAATATAGCTTTGATTTTCTCACAACTCTGGATCTCGCATTACAGTGTCACCTAGCCTATAGCATATAGTAGACCCTGTTTTTTAATACAATATAGTGTTATTTTTTGCATTCTATTAGTGCTCATCCAGCCCATTTTATTTTTAACCCTTACCTACCTAGTTATATGAACTTGCAGATATATTTAAGCGTGTGCTAAGGAGTTGTTATTCAATTGTGTGTATTTTCTTAAACTGTAAAGTTATATGGTAGAATAGCTAGCAGGATTAACTTCGTCCTGCACTGTTGTTGATTCAATAAATGCATTATTATTATCATTATTTTGACTATATTGCACTTCCTAGAGGAAGGGATGAGCTTGACCGGAAGCCTGAGGTTTAAGGTATCTATTAATAAAGGGTT